GAAATTAGCAGTACGTTACAATAGCACACAAGTCACACACAAAGGCACGACCCCAGAATCCAAACGGTGACCCTCGGGGGGTTTTAAGCATGTTGTGATTCTCCTAGCTTGGCGCCTGACACAAATGCTAAACATGCACACTAAACAGGCAGTACACCTTTAGAACGGAAGTCACGGAGTCACGTACCACCGTGACTGATTCCACAATTTTTCTTATTAAACAACTAGAAACATTAGTATATCCTATAAATACTCCTGAGAATGTTTTGTATGCTCCTCATGAGTTCTTGCAGGCATATTGTGTATGGATTTGTGTGTGTGTGTGTGTGTGTGTGTGTGTGTGTGTGTGTGTGTGTGTGTTTGAGTGTGTTTGAGTGTTTTGAGTGTGTTCACCTGGCAGGACAGGTCGCAGGCCATGAGGGGTCCTGCTGGGGGTGATGCCCCTCACAATGCAGTCAAACAGGAAGCTGATCTGCTCTCCTTCTGAACAGGACAGGAAGAAAACACCGGCCCCTGGAAGAAGGAGAGAAACGCACAGCACAGTCAAATAGAGACATACGTTTATGATCGAGAAAATCAAAGAGAAAATCTATAATCATGAATCTGTTGTCATTATATAGGCTACAGCAGAATAAAATAAAACAGTATTATAGAAAATGCTAAAATACGGAGCAAAACCACATTTTGAGCACGGCCAAACAATATTCAGTGAGGTTCAGAATGGTGCTGTAAAGTCAAAGCTGTTCTTTGATGATGCACTTCTTCTAAAGGTTACATAAAACGTCTCAATTCAGCCCCCACTTTGCTATCAGCCCCACACAGAAGTGGGAGTCTTTGAAAACACAAGACAAGCAAAGAAAAATAATCATAAAACGTCAAAATCTCTCCTTGCCAGAGATATTGAAAAGATGTCACAACGTAAGGCATTTCCTCAGGGGTTTGGTAAAAATAATTTGTTCCTATGGAGCTGAGTTTTCAGCACATTTAGTAAAAAAATGCTGAGAAAGCAGCATAAAAAATGTTGCTCTTTGTTTTTTCATCTGAGTCAGTCTCTAGTAACCCTAGTCAGCAAAGTGTCTTTGCTTTAAATGTAATAAAAAACAAACATTTATTAAAAGCTGCTCTCGCATTAAAGAGGCCCATTGTGCTTGTTTGTGTTCTCCCTTTTTTTGTAGTGTGTTCTATAGGTTGTTGTGCATGTAAATGGTCTGCAAAGGCTAACATCCATAACTTATTCAAAATATGAACCAGGACATTTGCATAATATGTCCACTACAGTATAAACAGCTGAGCGGTATGTTTGTATTCAGAAAATGGTTTTAAAAATGATTCCATTTGTCACAATAATTGTGTGAAGATATCTACCTACCTCATCTATCAAATTAGAATGTTACATAATAATTTGATTTAAGTCCATTTTAAAATCTCAGGAGGACAGGGATATTTTGCATTCAATTGAAAAGTAATATTATTTATTTCCTTATCATTTTCATGTTGTTTTTATTATGCTACAATAATGAAAAACTTAAGATGTTAAAGTAAATAAACAACATTTTGATTTAGGGATGGTTTGCATTCATTTTCTTTTAAGACTTTTCCTCAATGGTGGAGAGAAAGGTGTGTGTGCTGCACTGAGAGACTTTGTAAAGTATGTGTTCGATGCTGTTGAAATTGGTTTAGAGCACCATTTAGTTCTTCAAGCTGAATAATTGAGGAGATGTTTTCATATTTTCTTGAGTCAGTGAATTGCTCAAGCTCAGTGACACTTTCACAACGGGGGAGATGCAGTTGGTGTAAGCCTATTAGCTGGGATGAGGCTAAAAGCCATGGTTTCAAGTGAACTCTAGACCTCATAAAACTCTACAAAAAGAAAGAAAATCAACAAAAGGTAAAGATGTCCTTTTAAATCCAAACAAGTTATCTGAACTGATTGAGAGACTCTAAAGAAGTTGGCTCTTGTTAATCAACAAATTACAAGCCCTCTGGAAGCGGTTCTGAACCGCTTTCGAAAAGGGTACGAGGTACCAGACTGTATCTACCATCAGGGAGGTATGTGGATATTTAGCTGCTAAACGCCCCACTATGTTCAGTAGCTAGATTGTCGCTAACTTGCGTTGTCTGTCATACGGCAGGTAGTGTACTGTGGAGTCTCGACTTCTCCTAATGTTGTTGTTGAAACTCTGGTTCAAAAAGTTATCAGAGCTTTTCTGCTAAAAACTGTTGTTGACAATAAGGTGCTTTGAGAGCCGTGGGAGTGAACTAGCTAAGTGAACAAATACATCTGGAAATAAATATTGGAGGGTTTACCACTAAAGCTAGGTATCCATCTGAATGTTTTGCAATCTATCTGAAAATTGCCAAAAGAAAATACAAAGGAATTATTGCTTTCTTCTATGCAATTGTTAGGAGTTGTTCTTCTAAGTAAGCAATAGTTGGCACCATTTGTCTAGTCCGAAAACATTGCAGATGAAAACAACGAAACAAGATGGCAAAAGAGAGCCAGTTTGTCTCAAACAGTGAGAGACAATGCAGAATGCTATGCGTTCATGTCATAGTTTTATTTGACTTCTTAGAGAAAAAGGAAAATACTCAAGATATTTCTTGGCAATATTTCTGTTAGTGCAGAGCTAGGGGAGTCATTTGCATAGCTCTTTCTACATTTCTCTGGTTTGACAAAAAGCATCTTCAGAAGACTTGAGAAGCTTTGTCTCTTCAGGTGCAATTTTGGAAGAAAATGTAAGCCTTTGTGTGGGAATGTCATCGTAACCTTTTAAACAATGGACACATATTCTAGCATTAGAGAGGAAATCCCTTGTATTGGTTTGAATAAAACAAGCTGTAATTTTCAATTTCTGTAAATTGTAAGGGCATTGTCATTGTTTTTGTAGCTGTTATGGAGAGTCCTTAATCTGTCATATCCTCATATATTTCTCACAAATACGCTTAGTTCTGCTGCATGCCAGGTCATAGAAGAGGCCCATCGCTTTTTATATTGAAAACAGAAAGAAGCAGCTTTCCTGTCAGATTACAGCAGGCAAGCAAAATCTCTGCCTTTGTTAAGCTGTGTTTCTATCAAATATTGTGCAACTATCTACGGCTACTATAATGGAGGACTCAACACCATTTTAACCTCTGTGGGACATTCACATGTCACATGGCATTAGATAAGTTGAAGTTGCCTTTTACTTTGTCCGTCTACAAACTTCCTGATCAGGATGAATATAGACACTGTAATGACAAACATCCTCACACGTACGATACTACAATACGAGGTGTGAGTGTGTTAATGCCTGCCTAGAGACATGGAAAGATGGCTGACATAGCATGTCATCTTAAAGTTGCTTTTATCTAGATCACAAGGCTTGACAGCCATCCAACCTCACCAGAGGATCATTCTTTATTGTGTCCTCATGGGGAGTGTGAGCGAACCTGATAAGCCAGAAAAATTCCTGCCTAGCTAAGAAACAGCCAATTTGCATGTATTTCAAAAATGTTGCATGATTTATATGTTTTGCATGATTAATAAGTACCCATGTTTTATCTTGTTACATTTTCCCCCAATGCAGCAGCTGCACATTAGCCATGTCAAACTGCTTTTTCTTAAAGATAAGTGCATGGAGACATGTTTGCAACGTTTTTGTGGAAGCAGGTGTGTAAATACGCAAGATAAATTCTGCCTTGGATGCCTAGCACTCGTATGTCTCGCATAAACTCAAGAATTACAAATAATGTTAAAATGTAAGCGAACATTATGCATTACCTCGCACTCATGCAAGGAATTTCACTTCCCAATTTGACTCTCACATATTTTTCTATCTGTCACTCTGTTCATGCAGACACGCCAAGAGGGCCTCCAACTGCCCCGGTGACTGCTGGTTAATATGTCGATGAACGGAGGGAGAACACTGTGTTACTGCGATTGGCTGAGTGACCCCTTCAGGGGAGGCTGGTATTTATAGCTGCTGTTCATAAGAACAGTGAAACCAGACCCTTTGGCCCTCATGGTTATTCCTGTATGAGCCATGAGACTGTGAACACACACACACACACACACACACACACACACACACACACACACACACACACACACACACACACACACACACACACACACACACACACACACACACACACAGACCTCACATTGGAGCATTCAGGAACTTTCTCCAAACACTAACACAGCTGTTTAGTGAAGAGATCTCCCTATCATGAGAGGTAGAAAATAACATATTTTCTGGGATTTTAATAAGATTAGGAACAGAGCAGATTTGTCAATTTAGTTTTTCCAACAATGAATACTTGAACACCATCCCATTCAACGCTTGTCTTGCTTTCCCGATGACTCCCCACATCACACACACCCGTAAAACATAAAACTGCCTCGCATTCTTTGCATTCATGCCCACATCAACTGGACATTCAGAAGACACCTAGACCCAAGCAACCAACCAACCAAACAAACACAAACACA